CACCATCCCTGGGGCCCATGGTTGACACTCTTGAGACTCAGACTGAGGGCTTTATAGTCCCACCAGCCAGGGTTCCAATTTCAGGACATCTGCTTTTGTGTATTTATATGTGTGTGTGTGTAGGCGTGCTGCAGGACATGTATGGAGATCAGAGGACAACTTGCAGGAGTCAGTTCTGTCCTCCTGCCCCGTGGGCTCTGGGTTGTCAGGCATGGCAGCGAGTGCCTTTACCCACTGAGCAATCCTGTCGGCCCTGTTCTCTTCTTCTGCACATTCATTCATTTGCCGTGATGGTGGTCATGCTGGTAGGCCTGCACGCTGGTAGGCATGCAGTCCCTGGTTCTCTGATTCATTTCTAAACCAGGAGACTGTGTGTGGCTGGCTCAATGTCTGTGATTGCACCTTCATTGCCAAGGAGGTCATGCAAGAGTAAATACAGGAGCTGAGCTGCCATCTTGTCTGTCTCATTCATAATCCGAACTGGGTGGTTTGGATGGATTCTTTCATTTGTAAAGTGGGGGCCTCTAGAAGGACAGAAGAACATCTGTGCGAGGACTGAGCCTGGCCTGTGGTGATGTCTTACTGACAGTTTGCCGGGGTGGTCAGGACCACAACACCCCTGGCCTGAGGATCCTGAACTGTCGAATGAAGCCTGCTGAATGAATCATCGCGCCCCCTGCTATTTATTGTTCAGTTAGCCTTCTCTTTAGTTTCCACTAACTCTCCCTCAGGCTGCACATTGATCACTTCCGTGATGAGGAGGCGGAAGAGCAGCTGGATCAATGCGCATGTTTCCCTGGAAGGACGGGAGTGAACGCTGTGATGTTGGTGTGGGGTGGACATGGGAGGGAGAGGGGACGGGAAGCCTGAAGCCTACCATAGCAGGATAAGAGAGCTTTGCTTTATTTAAGCCAAGAAACGCCTAGGAAGGGAATGGGTCCAGGAAGCTGCCTCGGAGAGTCCAGTCAGTGCCATCCTTGAAGGTGGCAAGAAGGGCTCAAAAGGACCCTGGGTACTGAGGGCTCAGCTCCTGTCCTCTTCCACTTCCTGTGAGAATGGCCAAGGCAGAGAAGGCTCCCCTGGGGGCAGCCACTGAGAAGCCTGCTATGGCTCCCATGGACATCTCTAGAATCTGGCTATACCACACCCCAGCCATCTTACCCTTCATTTTGTTTTTTAACACACACACACACACACACACACACACACACACACCAGTTTATTCTTCTGTGTTTAGGCAGCTTGACTTAGTGTGCCATTAATCCCTCCCATCAGCACCCAGCTCCACTTAGAAGGCATCATGGGAAACTTTGAAGAAAGAAGGAAGGTGTTTTAGATTAGGGAAGAGGAACATTCCCAGGCACCTGCTGACTCCCGCTGGCTGAGCTCCTGCGGAGGGTCGGCCCTGCTTACAGGTGCACCTGCAGGATAGGAGTCTATGGATGGCGATGGCGGGAGGCTGCTAGCAACTACACGAAGGGCCCTGAGCTTCTCTGGTGACTCAGAGTGCCGAGCGAGCATTCTTGTCTTGTCTACCCCTCCGGGCCAGGGAAGGAAAAACCTGAAAGGGAAAAGATAACCAAGTAATGACAAGGGCAGGTCTCAGCAAAAGGCTGGTGTGCAGTGTTGAGATGGCATTGATTTTCAGTCCTGCCTTTGTGCTTGCTAGGCAAATGCTCCACTACTGAACTAAGTCTCCAGCCCCATAAGAGACAGTGTATGTGAGTGTGTGTGTGTGGGTGTGTGGGTGTGTGGGTGTGTGTAGGAGGTGTTACATGTTTGTGTGGGTATGTACATGTTTCCAGGTGTGTACATGCTTGTGTATGTGTACATACTTGTATGCATATATACGTGTTGTATGTGTGTATGTTTGTGAGTATGTACTACTTGTTTGTATGTATGCGTGTGTGTATGCATATGGGCGTGTATACATGTTTAAGTGTCTATGTGTGTATGTTGTGGTTATGCACAGGTTTTTGTAGGTGTGTGTCCACGTGTTTATGGGTACACATATTTGAATGGGTACATATATCTGTGTATATGTGAGTATAGATGTTTGTGTGTATATGTGTGTGTTTGTAGGTATGTACATGTTTCTATGACTGTGTGGATGTGTATAGATTGTGTACATGTTGGTGGGTATACACGTTTGCCTATGTCCATATTTGTGTATGTGTGTGTGCATGTTTGTGTGTGTATGTCTGTGTGTTTGTGTGTATGTATGTACCAAATATTTTTCTCATTCACTCTCTACCTTGTGTTTTAGACAGGAGCGCTCACTGAACATAGGACTCAGCAGTTCAGCTAGGGTGCCCTGTCTGCCATTGAGCTCCAGGAATCCTCCAGTCTCTGTGCTCTCCTAACCCCTAGCACTGAAGTACCCATGTGCCGCCACGCTCAGATTTTGGGTTGGGGCTGGGGATCCAAACTCACCTCCACATGTGTGTGAGGCAGAGGACACCTTACCAACAGAACCATCTGCCCATCCCCCAGTGGCACTTTAAAGCACGGTGGATCAGGCTTTAGTCCTAACCGTCATCACGGCATGGGGAGCACAGCAGTGAGCTCTTGTAGAGGGGCGGAGATTGAGCTCACTCCTCATCCAGGATCAGTGGTGGAACTATTGCTGAGGGCTGCCTCCGAGGGAAGAGGGATTCTGTCTAAGTCAACCTTGCCGAAGCTTGGCTGGATGACCTTCTGTGAGATGGTAGAAGAGGAGGAACCTGACCTGAGTAAGGACGTCAGATGATAACAGCAAGGGTTTGGGGCCAGCCAGGGCTCAGCGGCTCAGGGTGCTCCCTCACCTCAAACTGCTAAATAAATAAAATATAATGGAAAGAAAGTAAAGGAGGGATTCTTGGTAGGTGAGGTGAGCAAAGGTCTTTGGCTAAAACTGGCTTTCGCAAGTAAGCCAGATGGGACCAGGACTAAAGTCTATCCAAGCAAAGACTCTTTGCTGGTTGCCAAGCGGGAACATGGGCCCAGCACTGGCAGACCTTCCTGTTTTTCAAGCAAAGCAAGAAAGTCTATCTTTTAATGTGAAGTTGCTTGGTCTTTAAAGACACATAATAATTAGTAACTGTCTGTTTGAATGTGACACGAGCCAAACACAATACACCCGTGGGCCGCAAGTTTGAAACCCGCAATTAACTGTAAGGTTGTTTCTTCTCTATATCTTAGCCTGATCCATATAGGAATCTGCATTTGAGATAGGGCTTCATGTAGCCCTGGCTAGCCTGGAACTTCCTATGTAGACCTGCTTGGCCTCAAACTCATCAAGATCTGCCTGCCTCTGCCTCTCAAGTGCTGCAATTAAAGGCATGCACCACCATGCCCAGGCCATATAGAAACCTTTTGGCTTTAGTCTTCATCTTGACAACAATGTAATAAACATTGTTTTCAAACTGCCACTTGCCATCAGTTTGTTGAAAGGGGTAGAGAGCATGGATAAATGGATGGATGGATAGATGGATGGATGATGGATGGATGCATGCATACATAAGTAGGTAGATAGATGAGTGGGAGGATAGACGAAACTTCTTTAGAGACACATTCTGAAATGTTACTAATAAAATGGCGTATGTCTAAGAGTTACTTCAGAATCATATATGGGGGTCGAATGAAGATGTGGGCAAATCTGGATTGACCATGAGATGGTGATTTATCTGTATGATGATAGAAATAGATAGACAGACAGATAGATAGAGAATAGAGATAGAGATAAATGTCTATATATGTATATCTATATACATATATGTATATATATATATACACATATATATGTGTATATAGGCTCCTCAGACATTTTTTTTTACTTCTGATACACCTGGAAGTTGTCAGTGCTCTACGAATGTTTATCTTATTAATGTCCTCATTACCTAGAGATGCTTTCTGGGGGATACATCCTACTTGGAACTTAGTTGAAAATATTCAGCTAATTTTTGTAGGTAGATGTAAGTGTAGATAAGACACCACTTGGCAAGCATTTATGCCGTTGGGCAGTGGGTACATGGAGAATGAGTCACTACTCTAGAGTGGCTGACAGTTTTTTACAATTTTTTTTTTTAACAGAGGCCTGAAAATGAGGGCTCTATTTTCTAGGCAGTATGGAGTCATCCATTTTGGGTATTTATGCAGATTTTCCGTAAGTGTATCAGCCCTGACGTGGAGGGAAGAGGTGCTCTTTGGTAGGAGAGGTAATATACTGGACACATTTGTGTCAAGGGACGGGCTCTGTTGTTAGCTACAGGTTAAGAACAATATCCTACCCAGGTAGTTCTCTGCTGGTTAAAGACTCTATGATCATTTCCCTAGTCCTGACTACAACTTTTCAGTCATGTGACTCTGGACTGAGTCTCATATTCATCCTCTGTTAAGTGAGGTAAACATTATTGCCTCTGGTACTCACCATGAAGATTAAATTGGTTGTTCCATGCAAAGCACTCGGCTATCACTCCATTGTTGTCATTGCTGTTAAATGTTCTAAGAGCAGAAAACACTGTCTTAGACAAGGAAAAAAAAAAAAAAACAAGCATAGCTTAGTCGGGACAACCCTTGTACTCCTGATGATCCAAGTTCAATCCCTAGGACCTCTGTAAAAATTCTGAGCACGGTAGCACAGGCTTGTAATCTCAGCACTGGGGAGGCAGAGATAGAGGATTACTGAGGCTCACTGGCCAGCCAGTCTAGCCTATTTGATGAGCTCCAGACCAATAAGAGATCCTGTCTCAAATGAGGTGGATGGTGTTCATGAAGATAACACCCAAGTTGGTCTGCCCTCTTGCCTCCACACAAACTCGCACACATGTGTACCTAAAGGTGCCCTCCCGTGTGCACAAATACTCACACACAGATGCAAAAGCAAAAGAAAGGGACACTCACTGTCAACTGGTGCACCCTCAGCCATTTGTTCATAAGTTTCAGGACTCAGTTTCCTGTCCATTGGGCACAAAAGGAAGAAAACTGAAAAAGCAGCCTTCTGATGATGTTCTTTCCTACAGAATGAAGTGGAACTGGGGGAGCTGCTTCTGTCTCTAAATTATCTCCCAAGTGCTGGGAGACTGAATGTGGACATCATTCGAGCCAAGCAACTCCTGCAGACAGATGTGAGCCAAGGTTCAGGTACGGTGCAATCCCCTTATCCTCTATGTCGCTAAGGGATTCTCTACTGTTTGAGGGACCCAGGTTTGGTTTGGTTTTGTTGTATCCTGGATGCTAGTGATAAGCGACGGAAGGGTGGACAGCATCTAGAACTAGAATGCTGGTTCAGAAAGAAAAATAAATGATCAGCTATCTCTTAGGACGAAACGGGTCAGTGATGACATCTTGGGAACCCTATCGGCCAGTTGTGACTACTTCTGAACTCTATCTTCTCTCTGAAGTTATGAATTACTGAGAACTTGCTTTTTCACATACTATGCCTGTAATGCAGATGCCATGCTCTAGGTGGTGATGGTGCACAAGTAATCTGATCAGCAAGAAAAGTGGGCCCAGTGGTGGAGGGGGGGGGCAGGGGGTTGCAGCTCATTTCCTGGGTAGCATACGTCTTTATAAACCCCCCGCCTCTGAAAGAGCCACTGTGTTGTCTACTTTCTGTTAAAAACCAAATTCAAACATATTTAACAAAAAGCCAATCCCATTCCACCTGCATGCAGTTTCTTCCACGACAGCCAAGGCTGCTCTTGTAAATGAAGCCATGGTCGCTGGGCTCCCTTCAGCTCAGTGCTGGAAACGCTGTCCTCCTTGATCCAATAGGCAAAGGAAGTTGTTTGCAGTGAGGTGACAGCCAAACCTCTAGAAGACACCTTGTGCTCTCAAAAGCCACACTAGAGAATAGAGGCTTCAACAGGGCTGGAGGAAAGATTGTACGGTGGCTGGAACATTCAGATTCACCACACTAGAGCCAGGATGCTGGAAGGAGAAGGGAGTCAAACTGCCTGCCACAAAATGCCTTTGTGCTGCTTGTGATCTTGGAGAAGGTACTTAGCCTCAGACATCTCAACTTCTTCATCTCCATCATTGCATAATGACAGTATTTATCTCACTGGGTTGCTTAAATAAATATTAAATTCAATCACCTGCATGACTCTCTTTCTAAACTATGAAATGATCAAAGCCTGACAATTCTGATTCTGCCTTCACTCTCCCATGAAGCTGTGAGCCCACTGGCCTGCAAATGGCTTTCTGCTTTCAGAGAGCCTCCAACCTGGTTCTGCCTCCACCAGCTAGATCTGAAGCAAATTCCCCCTTATCCTTAAACCTTCAGTTTTCCTGTTTGTAAACTGAATACAATGCCTAAAACATGGCAGGAGTTCATTAAGTGCTCAGTGAGTGGAGGGAGAGGAAAAGGAATCAGCAGGTAGGACGACAGATGTGGAAACGATGGCTCCAACAGAACAGCTGGACACCCGGGAGAATGATTAAGTGAAAGCAGGGGTGGATTATGCCTGGATTAATAACTTGATAAGTGGTGAAGTGACTAAAGGAACCAGTGGGTAGATTGATGGAAAAGTAAAAAGATCTCAGTGATAGAGCCTCATGTGCAGGAGGCCCTGGGCTCTGTCCCCAGCAATGAAGACAGCAGAGAGATGGGGAAGGGTTAGGTAGTTACTGTTACATAGATAAGAACTTGGATGAAAGGATGGATGGATGGATGGATGGATGGATGGATGGATGGATGGATGGATGGATGGACAGATGGATGGACAGATGGATGGACAGATGGATGGACAAATGGATGGATGGATGGATGGATGGATGGATGGATGGATGGATGGATGACAGAGCTGGAGAACAGCAGGATGGCTGGGAAGTTAAAGAGATGACAGATGGCTAGATTATGTTTTTATCATCTCCATTAGTCTACAATGCTGTATCCAATCTGCAGACCCATTTGTGAAAATCCAGCTGGTACATGGACTCAAACTTGTGAAAACCAAGAAGACATCATTCTTACGAGGCACAATCGATCCCTTTTACAATGAATCCTTCAGCTTCAAAGTTCCCCAGGAGGAACTGGAAAACGCCAGCCTAGTATTCACAGGTAAGGTAACATTCTGGACCCTGATGAAGCCCTCAGGAGGCATGTTCAACTTGTTGCATAAAAAAAATCGAAGGTGTCTAGAGAGAGTTATGCCTAAAAACTTTGTCTGATGGTCAACTACCTAGATTTGAACACCACTTCCTATCTGTAAACTTGGACAAGACCCATATATCCTAGAACACAATTGTTATGTAACTGTAAGGAATCTAGATCAAGCTAGATTCCCTGAAACTGCCACATAACTGAGGGTTTTGGAAAGTTACTTGACTTCCCTGGGCCTCAGTTTCCTCATTATAAGATATGGATAATATTTGTTCTTGTGTTATAGGTTTACTGTAAAGAGTAAGTGAGTTATCTTTGAATCATATCTGATACATATGTCAGCCTTGGTGATGGTGGTGATGGTGGTGGTACTGATGTTGAGGACAACAGTGGTACTGATGATTCAAGTTGCTGGGTTTAATATAGGCATAGAAGCAAACAAGATCACCTAACTTAGAAAGGACAGTTGTCAAAGGCATTGGGAAGATATAAGTACAGGCATCATGTGCCACATTCTCTGGGAGAATTTAATCTACTTTTCTGGGACATAATTGTGTTTAATTTTAGGGTTTCCTAGTTATCTGTTATTATATAACAAATCACTCTAAATATTAGCAGCATAAATAAATCAAACTTGTATTTCATAGTTCCTGTCACTCAAGAGCCTGGGCATGAGCTGGGGCCGGAGCTCAGTTACCAGAGTGCTTGCCTAACATGGATGAGGCTCCAGGGTCAGTCCCCAGCACCACATAAACCTGTAATCCCAGCACACCAGAGGACCAGAAGTTCAAGGTCAGCCTCAGCTACACAGCAAGTGTGTAGATAGCTCAGGATACATGAGAGCTTGCCTTAAAAACAAAACAAACAGAAATCTAACTCAGGCAGAGCTCTGCTGTACTCTGTGGTTCTGGCTGATCTGATATCCCCTTCTGAGAGTCCTGCTTTGGGGCAACTGAAAACTCTGCTGTTTCGATGTAGTCGTTCATGAATTCTTGCCAGAGCCAGAATCTGCATGACGTACTGAATAGACAGCTCAGTGGCTAAGAGTGCTCTCCGAATTAGCTTGAGGACCTTGCTTCAAATCCACAGCCTGGCTTCATGAGCCTGTAACTGCAGCTCCTTGACAGTGGCCACCAGATCCTCAAGGGAAAAAGGAGGCAGATAACACACCCCCTCCTCCTCTGGCTTTCACATATATGTGCACTAGTATATGCGTGCACACACACACACACACACACACACACACACACATACACACACACAGCCCCACCTCTCAGGTGACTGTTTTCAGTTGGGAAGCATTGTCAAAGCTCCATGAGACAAGGTCTGTGTTCTCTCTCTCTTTTTAGTTACGTGTGTGTGTGTGTGTGTGTGTGTGTGTGTGTGTGTGTGTGTGTGTTGAACATTTTGCATAACACCGTGCCACAAAGGGCCACTTGATGGGATCCATTCTCTCTTTCCACCATGTAAGTCCTGAGGATGAAACTGAACTTGTCAGCCTTGGCGGCCAAGACCTTGACCCACTGTGCTCCCTTGTCTGTCCAGGACCTGTGCTCTTGACACACAGATGTGCTTAACCATTCAAGCATGGAGGTCGGTGCTACTCAGGGCCAGTGCCATGGTAAACATTTACTCCAGGGGTAGCTAGCGTGGCTCCCCACCCCATGATGTCAGGGCTACTTTCAGCGTCATCGGGGAGCTTGAGAAAGTAGCCAGTGGTCACGCCTCATCCTCCAAGACTGGAGCAGAGTACTGGGTCTGGGCACCTGCAGCAGGTCCTCACCGCAGTGTGAGGGTTTCAGTCAGCCACGTTCAAATAAAGTGCAAAAGCAATCAATGGGAAATCCCGCACGCCCCATCCACACGATCTGGAGGACAGCATAGAGTTGTAAGTGTTCTTGTTTATTATTGGTCACTGGTCATCTCTTACTCTATTGCGGGTACCGACAGCCAATAACATACAGAGTTGGTACTGTGAGCTATTTGGGGCATGCACTGGACCTTGCAGATTGTCTTCCTGCAGATGAAGGGGACTACTGGATATATGAAAATATTATAAAGTACCCCCGATATTTTTCATGCTTAGTAGGGTGCAGAGTCACGGCTAAAGGTAGGAACTGTGGCTGCCTGGCATTCCACCTAAAGGGCCTGGAACAGTAGCAGAAATGTGGGCGAGTGGGTTTGTATCTAGGCAAAGCCACAACCCCCCCATGCTGCTGCACAGGGCTGTGACTCGCTTTCCTTGCTGACTGGAAAGAACGCTGTTCCCTCCAGGCCAGAGGATCTGAATTCTAGCCCGGAGCAGTGTTTCCAAACACTTTTCAAGGAAAGTCAGGTTGATCTGCAATTTAAGCATTTGCTGAAACTCCCTGGGGAAACCTGTAATTAGCCTGGGGGCTGGGCACTCTGAACAGTTCCATTCTTGAGTAGGAGGAGGCTGCTTCTGCCAGGCAGGCAGGTGATTTTTACAGCTGAGGTTTAAAAAGAAAAGAAAAAGAAATGGGAAGGTTGATTTCCCAACTTCAAAACACATGGTTCAGGAGCTTTCTGGAAAAACCCCATGAAGGTCCTCTGTGAGTAGAAGGGAATGTGGGTTGGCCATGAAGTGGTTGGAAGGGAGGAGGAAGGGGGGACCGCATAGAGGAGGAGGAAGAGGGAAAGGAGGGAGGAAGAGGGGGTAGATACATTGGTTAGTCTTTTTGTCAGCTTGACATAGCTAGGGTCATCTGGGAAGGCGAACCTGTAATTGAGAAAGTGTCTCCATCAGATTGGCCTATTGGCAAGTGTGCAGGGCATTCTCTTACTTAATGATTGACATAGGAGGGCCAAACCCATTGTGGGTGGGTGGAGCCATCCCTGGGCAGGTGGCCCTGGGGTATATTAGAAAGCAGGCTGAGCAAGTTATGGGGAGCAAGCGGGTCACCAGCACCCCTTCATAGCCTCTGCATCAGCCTCTGCCTCCACGTTCCTGCTTGAGTTCCCACCCAGACTTCCCTCAGCGATGGGATGTGACATTGGAGGGTAAACCAAACCAACTCTTTCCTCCTTACATTGCTTTTGGTCAGGGTGATGATCACAGAGATAGAAAGCAAATGGCAACAGTATGTAAGAAGGAAGAAAAGGGAATTGAGGGAAGAAGGGAGGAAGGAAAACCTAGGAGAGAAAGAGGAAGGAGAAGCAAAAAGAGGAGGGAGGGAGAGGGAGGAGAGAGGAGGAAGAACGGGGCCCCATTCAATAGCAGAGTCGTTAAAACCTTCAAGATTGGAGTCTATTACCATCCACCAGTTCTCCTTCTCTGTGTAGAAAAGGGATATTGGGGATCTAAAAGCATCGGAAGCAGACACAGACATTGGCGCTCCTGTGCTCCCCGCAGCAGCTTCCATGACAGCTAGGAGGGGGAATCACCCAGGTGTCCAGGGATGGACAGAAGGAAAAAGAAGATCTGGTCTATCCAGATGGTGAAATGTCCATTAGACTTAAAAGGGAAGGCTCTTCTAATGCCTGCTATAACATGAAGCTTGAAGTCATATGATGTAGGAAAAGCCAGCCAAAAGTGTGTGTGGGGGGGGCAAGTATCCTATGAGTAGTCAGAAATCTATGAGACCAGGACTCCATGGGCTTGAGAGTGGGCACAGGGAGCTGTTTCTAATGGCAGAGTTTCACTTTGGGAAGACAAAACCAATAATTTTCTAGTCTGGCCATGGTGGTACGTTCCTGCAACCCCAGGAGTGAGGCGATAGAGGCAGGAGTTGAAGGCCAGCTCCGTTGTGAGATCCTGACCCTAACAAACACACATTCAAACCTGGGCTCCGAACAGTGGTGGTGACAGCGCTATTATGCATGTAGCAGGCGTCACAGGATCCTATACTAAACAGCGTTAAGATGGGTCTTTTACGTGTATTTTACTTTTTCGTGGTTTGCAGGGTTTTTGTTAGTTTGTTTTGGAACAGGATCTCAGAGGCACGCAGGCTAGCCTCAAACTCTCTAAGTAGGAGAGGAGGATGAGTGAGTCACAGGTAAAACCCAGGGCTTTGTGCATGCTGCCTGGGCTACCCACTGACGGACATCCTCAAACCTGTTCTTGTTTGTTTGTTTGTTTGTTGGTTTGGTTTGGTTTTTGAGAAGGAGCCTTGTTCCGTAGCCACAGCTGGGTCTGAAACTTGCTATGCAGACCAAGCTGATTTCCAACTTGTAGTGATCCTCCTGCCTCTGCCTCCCACTAGGAGCCACTATGCTGGACTTAAAATTTTTTAACAGAGGAGAGAAATGCAGTTTGGGCCACGTAGAACTTGAGCACTTTCAGGACATGCTGGGATGCTGATGTGGGACCCTAGCTGGCCATCCTCCTCCACTGCCTGGAGGGAATATAGTCCAGTGGTTAGAGCTCTGTCGTGTTGGCACTCTGCTCCAAGCAAACCTTCCCTGTCTCAGTTTCCTCATCTGTAAAACAGGGGTGCTGGCATTTCATCCAGTGGGTTCTAAAGTCCAGGAGTATTAGCATGTATGCATTGCTTACCTCGAAGAAGAAGGTACTCCTTAGATATGCCCTGATGTCATCACTATTTGAAGTGTCCACAGCCAGATTTCACCTTGAGCCTCTTCTGAAAGAAGGCCAGGTCATCCTCTTTCCTCCTCCTTCCCAGAGTTAGAAGAGACCTTCCTAGAGACAAACTTTGGGGAAACTTTAACTTAGGACAAAGGATCATGTCATTTGCTTCTTTCCTTCAGTTTCTCCCAAGTGTCCTGGGTTCCCTGGGACTCTGTTAGATGCTACACATTCAGATCAACTCAGATATTCAGGGCCCATGTTCTTGGGGAGCTTAGAGCTAGACTGAGGAGTGAGAGGAGGTGGCACATGAGCTAGGAGGTAAGGGCTGAGCACCGTCGACCAATGGAGGAATCACAGGGATTGAAAGAACCGGGCAGGCCCCTTTGCAGAAGAGAAATTGAGGCCTCCC